TGTGTGTGTGTGTGTGTGTGTGTGTGTGTGTGTGTGTGTGTGTGTGTATATGTGTATTGATAAGAAGTGATTGTGATTTCCAAGGCTGAAACCAACCAAACATTCACCAAGTAAATTATTGTATTTTTAAATGAACTCCATTTTTGTGAATTCCCAAATGTTTTTTTTTTCTTTGTCTGAACTATTCATCTATTTCTAAAATGAGTCATGATAAATCCAGGGAGAAAACGCAAACATGCACTCCAGGCACTCTCTCTCACTCGTTCCCTCTTTCTCTCACACACACAAAATGGAAAATGTTATCAGATCAATATCATGTCTCATCTGACCCACGTCCAGTGATGACAATGTGACCTGCTGTACAAACATACATCCAGCCTCTGCGAAGATTAAACTGGTGTCAGACAGCCAAACGCTGCTAATGTCCGCAGTGGAGACACTTAGTGCTCTCGTGGTAGAGGGCCGGGGAAGGGTCCACCTGTCCTGTACCTACTTAAGTCGGGGACACTAAAACAGACAGGATTAAGTGTCTGCTCTGTCATCTTTAGAGTTGGAACCTGAATGCAACCACTTGCAGTCCTGCAGGAGAATCTTTTTACTGAGAGCTCTAGCGTCCAATTACATTTCACCTTTGAAAATCAGACTCAGGTGACAGGCAAGAGCAGAACAGGTGGAGAAGAGGACATTGGGTAAGGAAGAGAGACGATGCCATTTTTACTGTACACATTGATTGTATTATAGTTGGAATATCTTAATATTTCGACAGCTACTGCATAACTACCCTTTAAACACAATCAGAAAGTTCACTGTTCCACAGTGAACTTTTGTGGAACAGTGGATGCAGACCACTCTCATATTTTGGAAATGCCCTAAAATACTTCACTTGTAGAAAACTGTACACGTAACTGTAAAGAAGATACTGGGATATTCCTATGAGCAGCACAGTACAGTACCTTTGCAATTTTAACAATATCATAGAAAAAGTAAGAGGAAGTGATAGGTATCTGATCAAGATAATGTTAATAGCTAGCAAGAAAGCTATTAGGTGGAAATGGGGAAAGGTGGACCCTCCTTGTCATGAACAATGAATTGGGATAATAGAAGAAATCTACACAGTGGAAAAATTGACATATCGCCTGAAACTACAGCAAACACAAATGGAAGAAAAATGGGAGAAATGGACACTATCCAAAACCAAAGGCAGTGACAAAAAAGAGAGAAAGCTCGACAAACTGGATAAGACAAAAGGACTATTGGAAGATTAGCACCCAAGAAAAAGTTATTTTTATTTTTATTTTATTTTATTTCTTAGTTTTTGTATGTAGTGTTAAATGTGAATTGTTCTTGTACATGTTGTATGTAAATAAATCTGGAAAATGCCAATAAAAAGTTAAATGATTTAAAAAAAACAATCAGAAAGTCAAAGTCAAAACAGACTCTTGCTTGGAAGAGCATTTACTTTTCTGTAACTAAACATATTAATGCCATCTGAATACAGTGGTTTGGTAAACATCAAAGTTCATGGTCAATAATCCAGGTAAAAAAATCCAACAAGGTTCAGTCAGGTGATCTGGACGGTTTCTTTTTTTGTTGAGATGTTTCGTCCTTCATCCAAAGGACTTCATCAATCTGAGGAGCCACAAACAAACTCAGTCCCACAAGCAGCACACTCCCTTAGTGGACCAACCAGTTTGCTGGTGATAAGATGGTTTCTGGGGCCCACCCTCTCCCCTGTCAACTCCTCTGAGGCAGCCATAGCCTGAGAAGTGTGCTGCTTGTGGGACTGAGTTTGTTTGTGACTCCTTGGACTGATGAAGTCCTTTGGATGAAAGACGAAACATCTCACCAAAAAAAAGAAACTGTCCAGAGGACCTGACTGAACATTGTTGGATTGTGGTTTTGTGTTTTTCAGATGCGTTTTTGATCAGCTATTTTCTTAAGTTAAACATCTGAAGCTAAACAGAACCTCTGCGAACATGTTGGCGTGAGTGTTCAGTGTAAAAACTGTAATCACAAGTTGCTCCAGCACGTACCACAAAAGCACAGATGCTCCTCTGTGGAGAGTCCCATTCGAAGCAGCTGTTAATGTAGCAACCCACGTTGATCAGGAACATGATGCAGCGTCTAACTCGGTTGAAGTTGCGTAAAAGCAGCTGGAAGGGAAAAAAACAAGAGATTTGTTTGTACAAATGAAGTTTTAACCTCTAAATTAAGCTATAACAAAGAAAACAGAATTCGGTTATTTACTATCCATCCATTATCTTTACTTGTTTCTATGACTATTTTTGCTTACACTTTATAAAAAGGCTTACTGGTAGGACCAAGAACACTGCTGGAAAAGATCTGGGCTGACAAATGTCACTAAAACAGGCTCTAAGCAATCTGTTATAACTGGCTTTCTGTAAAAAAAATAAAATAAAAAAAAGAAAAAAAAGAAAGCTGGGGAAAGAATTTTACCTTCAACCTAATATTTTTTTAGATCAAAATTTTTTTTTTTTTTAATAAAATAAAAATTTTCTATCAGATGACTGGTTGGTCTGACTCTGAACCCGTCATCCATTTCATTATAAAATACAACTTCAAATTAATGGCACAGGATTTACAACTTTCACCTCACTTGGGATTTCCAGTTACAACATTACAGGACTCCTTGAGGATGCCAGTGTGTGTTTTTGTGCGTGTCAATATGTAATTTTTTGTATAGCTCTATATTAAAAAAATGCTTATTGTGGATCCTGTAATGAATTTTTAGATGCCTCGCCTAAAGATTCCTTTATTAATAACGATCTCTGAGACAAATTCTACTCTCTTTAGATTCTTGTGACATTTAACCAGACAAGAGAGAACTGCTGCCACCTTTCAATTTAGGGGATATCATACAGCGGAGAATAAAGCAAATGACCCAGTCAGGCAGTGGTGGCTGGCCAATAGAGGACGCTAGGGCGTAGCCCCATCACACACCATTGCACCATATTACCTTGAAGATATAAAATAATTAAATAAAAATGAAAGAATAAAATAAAAATATTTTGAAATATATGTATATATCTTTTAGTTGTGTAAGATAAATATTTTATAGTTAATGATGAGTAAAGTTGTTTCTTTCAAACACGTTGTTGCTGATTGATGTATTTTTGCCCATAGACTCTCATTAAAAGTTGTACATGCAGTTAACTCCTCTTCATTACAAGATATAGGACTATTCTGGGCGCAACTCTCCTGCGCCCAGA